TACGTCAGCTCCGAATCAGAGTCAAAATGCGAATCAGAGCAAAATTAATATCGTCACGAGAGTAGTTTCTTTTATAATTCATTCTACCCATAAAACAATTCAATAATTAATCGATTCACTGTTTGGTACTGATTGCTTTTGTCGGGAGATTTCGGAAAGTAACGCTTCCACTGGAATGAATTATTTTCCGGTACTGACAGGCAAGGAGATGATGCTGTTCTAGAAGCAAATATAGTATTGTTGTCGTAAAAGGCCTCCTGAAATAGAACTTTTTCAGGCTTTCAAACTCTTCCGTAAGAACAAAGTGAGTCCGGAAAACGCGGAAGCTTCAGTTTTCATGAACAGATTCGGTCTTAATAACAGCAAACACACATCACGTGCTGATGCTGAAGCACACGGTGAAACTGAATCGAATGGAAACCGATTTGAGTATTTACTTAAAAAACATGTGGTCGATACAAAGGATGAATTTTATTACTATTGGTTGGGTGTTGTCTCATGTGCCTTTACATATAATCTTATCGTTGTAATTGGTGAGTGCACTTGTCTTTTGATCTTAATTTAAACGCACAATCAACTTTTTCAATTAATACATTCACAACTTCTTCGTTCTCTTACGTAAAATACCTCCTTTTATGTTAATGACTGATGATATTCATTACCGAATAATACTGGAATCTTCACCAAACTTCATTCAATATTCAAATATCACAATGCCTTTATGCAGTGCTAATCAAACGTCGTTTCAATAGAATCTTTGCTCTCAGTCAATAAGTTCGATCGTAATTTCAGCTCGGAGTGTTTTTAAAGATTTAGCTGCTGGTCTTCTGTGGATTTTATGGGCGATTCTTGATGTGGTTGCCGATAGCATATATCTCTTTGATATGTTCATTCGATCTCGAACTGGTTAGTTCGAATTGTTTTTGTTGAGAATTTCTTATCGAGTTGAGGTCTTTGTCGGAAGTACGCGTTAGATTTTTATTTACTTTTACTTTGAAATGATTGCGAGCGATTCAACTCTCTTTACAGTATTACGTGTTGCTATCGGTCACGGAATTCCTTGTTGCTAGACATTGGCTAAAGTTACTGTGCGATAACGTCTACGAATAATTATTTATGTTAGATTTCGATATCTGCTCGATTAGATCAGTGGAGAGTCATTTGGGATGAATATTGGTGTTGGGTCGGGTGAGCAAAATTCTAGAAAGCAAGAGTTAATGCTAGAGGGTACGGGCATAATGGGGAAGCCTGCGACTTTTGGGGTTCTCAAGAGTAGGGTCTGGGCCTCCAAAGGTTACTTTTATGCATTCCCTCATTGTATAATGTATGAAGTACGATATTTGCATTTTCTGAGTGGGTACAATTGAGTTGATGTNGTGCGAGATATACCGCGAATCAGGAAGCTGTACATAACGTCATTGCAGTTCAAATTAGATTTATTCAGCGTATTACCATTGGATTTGGCTATTTCGGTTGCTTTGCTACGCCCAATGCCTTATCTTCGTTTCAATCGAATGATTCGTTATCCACGATTGTCAGACTTCATTGAGCGAACTGAAACAAGGTTCGTTCATTCACTCTTTGTGCAACTGAGAAATTCTTTGATTGTGAGTAAGTTGATAACTTTAACTGATTAACTCTTCAAATACTTTCAGGAGTTCCATGCCAAATGCGTTCCGTGTATTGTGTGTTGTTGTGAATATAATCATTATTATTCATTGGAATGCATGTATATATTTTTTCATTAGTGAATTAATAGGACTTGGTTCTGACGGTTGGGTATATGGGGTGCTCAATAAACAAAGTCTTCCAGAGTAAGCATAGACTTTTTATTGTAATTGAATGCTTCACCATGATTGGCTCTAGCTGAAAACATGTCTTCGGAAAATTCACATCAAAATTATGTTACTGAAAAGAGCATTAATCAAAAATGGATATGTATGGTCCAAGGTTGTCATTGCTTAAAAAGA